CCTTCTCATGTGCTCTCTCTCATTCTCTCTCTCAAATAAATAAATAAAATCTTAAAAAAAAAAAAAGATCCTTGAATCCCACTGAAACTGTAGCATATGGAGTTAGAATACTCAAGGAATGTGGTTTACACCCCTTGTCTATAGAATTCAGTGAGGCGAGGGGTTAAAAGCTGACTAATTCTAGGGTTCTCTTGTGTCTCCAAAGACACGGTAAAACATCTAAAACCCTGTTAGTAATTCAGGAAGATCCCCAACTCAGGAAGCAGGCCCAGGCTTGTTAAATCAGAGGTGATTTAGTTGCTGAGCGAACCCCAGTCCCCTGGGATAGTGTGCCTTTATGAAACCCATATTTCCAGCTGTGGGGACTTAATTGAAGAAGGAAAGAGAGAAGCCATGTTGGGCAAGCGTCTGGGTAATGCCTGCTTTTATGTGTCCTGTATTAGCTGATAAGCATCACAAAAGATTCAGTGTACAGTGGAAGGTGGTTTCTCTGAGGTCCTAGGATTGCTTCTTCTTTCCCTAGGTGAGGGTACAATTTGGCTCAGGGCTTCCCTCCCACCCTGCCTCAATTCAGCAAACACTTATGGACACCTACTATGTGTAAGTTGCCTTGCTGTGTGCTGGAATGTAGTAGCATCATCTTTTGGCACTGACAAAACACCCTCCTACATACGACCTCAATTTAGTGATTCTCAGAATAGACTCTGAGTCAGAAAGACCAGAGTGAGGACAGATTTATCCATGCATTGTCTGTGTGACCTTAGGCAAGTCATTTCTGAGCCTCCGCTTCCTTTTCTATAAAAGAGTAGTAATAGAAGCTCCTAGGTCAAAGGATTGTTGGGAGGAATCAGTGAGGCAATACATGGAAAGAGCTTAGCACATAGTAAGCATTCATTTAAAAGTAACCATATTTTGTTGGTCATTCTTGGTCCACGTATTCACACAATAATCCATCCTATGATGTCGATATGATCTCATTTCTTAGACCTCCACTGAGCACCTTTTATGTTCCAGGTGCTGAAGACCCATAGGAACCAAAAGAGCATTTAGATACAGAGAAGGAGGTGTCAAAGGAAACTCAGAGGAAGTGAGAGCACCAAGAGAGGTGCGTCAAGGAGAGTGGCCAATGCAGCTAATACCAAGGGGTCAGCTGAGAGCTGAGGCCCCATAGTGACCACTGGCTTCTGCAACATGGGGTTTCCAGGTCGGCGGGTGGACCCAGACTGATTTGAGAAATTGGAGCTGATGTGAGAACAGCAACTACAGAGAACTCTCACAACGTTTTGATGTGAAGGGGAGCAAACAAATGGGGAGGTGGCTGTAGGGAGACATGGGATCAAGGAGATTTTTGTTGTTGAAACTTTTTTTTTTTTTTTTAGGATACAAGATATTGGAGCGTGTTATGTTAAGCAGGTGGGAATGATCCAGTACAGAGGGAGACACTGATGTTTAAGGAAGGAGAAATCCAGGGTGCAAGTGGAGGGGTCAGCTCTGAGAGGTGCACAAACCATTCAAAAGCCGGAAGGCAGAGAATGTAAGGTGCAGAGCAGGTGGTAGAGCAGAGGGTTCTGATGGATTCTGTCATGTCTGTGAAGTATGAGGCAAGCACACCTGCTTCGAGTGAAGCATGAGAAGGGGACAGGGGTGGAAGACTGGAAGATCACCCCTGCAGGGTAGCAAGGGGAACTGAATACAGTGCGGAAGTAGAGGAGGATTGCTAGCCAGGGCTCATTTGAAGTCTGTGAACATCAAATTAAGTGACACTGGTCACCTTCCATTTCCCAGCGATGTTCAGATGTTCTGATGCAGGCAGAGTGTAGGGGACTAGTGGGGCTTAACTAGGTTTGCACAAGTTAGAGGAAAAGAGAGGGGCAAAGGGTTAGTGGTTTTTGCAAGGAAGCGAGTGTAGTGATCATTACTAAGCTGGGTGAGGAGGGAAGTGAGCATGAGAGGATAAATACAAGGATCTGGCAGGGTCAAAGGTTTGCAGGGCTTGACGAGGTTGAAGAAATGCTTGCGCGTGGTACTATAGTAATGAGGTTAAAGTCAGACTTGAGATATTTGAGATGGTGTTTTCTGAGACAGTGCAATTTTGGGTTAGAGCAAATCCAGGGTAAGACCGTGGGAGTGAATACCCAGGGTGGAAGGAAGGAAAAACTCATTGGTAGGGAAGAAATCAGTGGGGAGTCAATACTAATTCTGATGGATTATGCGTATGGATGCTGAAGTCATAAAAAAAGGTACTGGAGGGGAGGAGGTTAGTTCATGAGAGCAAAAAGGAGGGTGGCAGGTGGAAAATACTATAGCATGAACTTCAAGGGGGGTTGGGTTTTTGAAAGAGGAGGGGAGGAGAAACAGTACTAAAAATATTTATGGTGCTTGTCTGTCTATCCACAGCCCCTGGTAGGCGGCCATGTTTAATGCCCACGGTCCCCATGTGCATGGCAATGGTTGACTGGTCACGGGTGGAGTCCAACCTGTGGGGACCCAATCTGTGGACCAGATGGGGACCTGTCCAATGAGCTGTCATCATTAAAACAGGAAATGGGGCCATTGGATTCTGTTGGGATTTGAACTATGAAACACAAAAATAATTTGTCAGTTAAAAGAGCAAGCTGATGCAGAGAAGGAGGGACAGAGACCACCAGGATGGACCCCAAGCAGGCTGAAATGTTGAGGGAATAGTGCTATAAGCAAGCTGAGGATGCAGGACCGCAAAGAAGGAACATAGCAGATGCATCCAAAGAAGCAGAAATGGGGCTGCATGAGAGAGATGGTGTAGCCTGCCCCCGGGCCCTCTTCTATAATATAACTTAACTTTCAGAGCAGGGGCAGGGACTCCATGCAGGGAAACAATGGGATCAGACCTAGGGTTATGAAAGGGGGCTTTGGCTGGCTTTGAACTCATTAGTTAAGTGATCTCGAGCAAGTGACTCAAGTTCCCTCATCTGTGAAATGGGACTAATAGTATTGACCTTACAAGGTTACAATGAGGATTAGATGAGAATATACAGGTAATGCATTTTGAACGGCAAGGTTCCCTGTCATCTTATTTTCTACAAATAAACAGTTCAGGATTATTTCTTTCCCAAAACTTTCCCTCATGCCCTGATCCCCTGCCTTCAAGGAGGGATACCATCTTCTCTTGGTCCTCTTCCTACCTCCCAGGTCATACCTTCTCCGTCTCCTTGCTGGTTCCTCTTTACCACCTTTACCTCTTCTCTCTAAATTCATCTCCTAAGTCAACTCACCTAGATATCTTGCGCCCTTAAGTACCTTAAAATATCATTTATTAGCTGACAGTTCTCGTAGCAACTCCAACCTCTTCCCCAGCTCTAGACTTCCATGTCCGATTACTTACTAGACATTTCCATTCGAACCTCCAATAGGCATCTCAGACAGAGAACTTGCCCCAAACTGACTCTAATCCTCCCCCACCAAAACAAAACCAAACCAGACCCTGCTTCTCCTACAGTCTTCCATAGACCAATAAATGGCAAATCCTTTCGGTGTTCATCAAGCTAAACATCTTAGCATCATGCCTGACTCCTTCCTTCCTTCTCGCACCCACCACCAAGCCATCAGCCAATATTCAGAATGGGATCTTTCCTTGCCCCCTCTGTGGCTATTACCCATGAACACACCAGGGACTGTCCCCATTGGGTCTGTGCCCTTGCTGGTTCTTGTCCTTCCTCTGATCAAATGTTACTTTCTAAATTAGCCTCCCTGGGGCCCCACTTCCCTAATCTGCCTGCCAATTCCCTCACTGTGAGTTTCCTCCACATCTCTAATCACCACCTTACACTATGTTTACTTTGTAGCTGATGGTCTCCCCTCCAACAGTTCAAGCTCTGCAAAAGCATGCACTGGGACTGTCAAATTCACTGCTCTATCCTTAGAACCCAGAAGAGTGCTCAGGACACAGCAGGTGCTCAATAAATGGTTACCAAGTGCAAGAATTCCTAAGTGCCACTCTCTTCTCTGAATTCCCATAACACAAGCCTTAAGCACTTACTTGTATCGATTTTTATGCCCCTGGCAGCTTTTATTTGACTGAGGATGGGGGCCTAGGACACGGGTGTGTGGCCATAATCCCGCCATTTGTGCAACCCTTTACAGTTTACAATCCCCTCACAGGTGACTTGATTTGATTCTCACAAAAGTGAGCAAGCCAGGCAGGGCAGGTATTACCAGCAAGGCTAGAATCCCAGTTCTCCTGCCTTCTAGACGAAGCTCAACGGCTATTTGTTGAATGGAGAGAGTGAGAGAGGAAAAAGGAAAAGAAAAAAAAAAAAAAGATTGAGTCACTCTGTGGAGTGGGGCAGCCCCACTGGGCAAATGGGCTGGTTCTCTGTAGCACATCTCGCAAACGCCTAGCATTTATTGATCGAGTTTTCTAATCTCTACCTGTGTGGGCCACAGAGCTATCCTGCAGCAGGTAGCTCTGGGGGCATCTTCCCGTCTTGTACACCTCTGCTTTCTTTCGGTGCCTCCAACAAGGCCTGGTATATAGTGGCTGCTCAGTGAATGGTGTGGCCCAAGACGCCTTTTTTAGAGATCGGGCTCAGGTGCGGCGACTTGCTCCCGGTCCTCCACGTAGCAAGCAGCAGCGCCGGGACCCCACCTCGGGTTCGCGCTGCCGCTCTCTCCGGGACGCGCCGGCCCAGCAGCAGCCCCAGTTCCGGGTCCGCGCGGGAGAGCGCGCGTGCACCGAGCGGGGAGGGCAGGGCCTGACCCCTCCCAGCCCCAGCGCCTTCCGCGTCCGCGCCGGGGAGGTCCGCGCGCACGGTCCCGCAGCCGCCCCCGCCTCTGCAGCCTTAGGGCCGGGGGTGGGGCGTGGGTGCGGACGGAAGCCCCCTCCCCTCCCCGCCCAGTCCTCGCGTCCCGCGCCGGCCCGCCCACCCCTCCGGCCGCTGCGCCCCGCCCCGCCCCACTAGCAGGCCCCGCCCCACACTTCCCCACTTCGGCGCACCTCCCCCCGCGCGGCGCTCCATACTTGGCGATCGCCGCGGCCCTGCACGCTCATTGGCCGAGAGCCGGGTGCGTGGGGGCGGGCCCGGGCCCGGCCGGGGCGGGGAAGGAAGGTGGCGGCGGCCCGGCGCGGGGGGAGGGGGGCGCTGACCCGGATGTTCACTCCTGGGCACCCGGGGAAGTGGAAGCGCCGGGTCCTGCTGCGGGGGGGAGAGCCACAGACGCCGGGACCGGGACCGCCGCCGCCGCCGCCGCCACCATGGTAAAGGCCCGACGTCACTCTCTCCCATGCCCGGGGGCCCCACCGGAGCTCGCGTCTCTCCTGTCCCCGCCTCCCCGCACCCTTAGCCCCGGGCCCGAGCAGGGTGGGTCCCCCGGGTGGGGGAGGGGCGGGGTCCCGGACCCAGGTGGACACCATCGCTGCCGGCTCAGGAGGGGGCTGCCGGCACGGGCAGCTGGGCTGGGCAGCGACCCTGTCTCCCTCACCCAGCTCCCGCCCTTGGCTCAAGCTGGAGTCCCACTCTCCGCCTGTCGGTCAGGGTAGTCTCCCCCATAGCCCAGGCTAGACCCCCCTGTGGTCCATGCCAGGCACCCCCTACGTTGACCCCGGGGGGTCCCCCTTCCTCCTGCGCACGGCCCCGGCTGGGTCCCCTTTCCCCGTCCCCACGGCCGGGGTAGGCCGTCGTTTCTCCCTCCCGTGGCCCAGGCTGGGCTCCCCTCTCTGCAGTTCGGTTTAGGCCTGTGTCCCTCTCCGTTTCTTCTCCATGGTTTCAGTCTGGACACCAGTCAGCCCCTACTCCAGTGGCCTCAGTCTAGATTCGTTTCCCCGCTCTTCCGTGGCTTCAGCTTGAATCTTCTCTTCCCTCCTTGGCCTTGGTCTGGACCTCCCCTCCTCCGCCCGCGGCCCTGGCCTGGACGTTAACCCCCGCTATCCCCTTCCCCAGACTTCTCACCGCTCTTAGCGTAGCCTGCGTCAGCCCCCCTCGGTCCCGGGCTCTACCCTCCTTCCAGGGCCCTGCGCCCTGCCCTGCCCCCGACCCGGGTGGTCCCTCCCCTCTACCCCGGGAGGACCTTTGCCGCCTCTGGGAAGCGAGGGGAGCTCTCCTGCCCGGGGGAGGAGGAGGGTGGTCCCGGAGCTGTGCCTTCACAGGTGGAGGGTTGCCTCCTCCTGGGGAGGCCGCCTGGAGCGAGCGAGGGAAGGGCGGGCACCTGTGTGCCCGGAAGGCAGGAAGGCAGCGCGGCGCTCTGCAGGCCCTTTCCGCGGCCGCTGCCTCCTTGCCGAGGGTGCGGTGCCTGCGGGGCTTCGTGCCGGGGCCTGAGTGGGAGCCGAGAGATGAGGGTGGGGGGAGCCGACAGGACAGGAATGAACGCACAATCGCCCTTGTGAAGCTGCAGCCCTTGGGGGGGCCGCTGGGCCGTGAGGCCAACATACGGCCTGGACACGATGCACCCCAGCAGGCGCAGCCTCCCTTTCCCCCTGAACTGTCAGCTCGTGAGGGTTGGAACTGCTGATTATGGAGGTGCCTCGGATCAGGTGAGCCAGATTCCGAGAAGGAGAGAGAGCATGAGAGCGAGCGAGCCAGCTAGTTCCGCTCGTAGTGTTTTGATAACGACGGCCTGTGTTCTGGGTTCTCTGCGTGGCTTGAGGTTTCACCTAGGCCTCCACAAGTTCACTTACCTCCACTTTGCAGCCTTCTGCAGGGCAGGCTCACCACCCAGATTGGCAGGGCCAGAGGGCTTCTGCCTTAACATGGTCAAGGAACCTTTGGAGATGGGCTAACCGAGCTCAGGCCATCCACCTGCTCCTTTTGCCCAGTGCTGGCAGGTGCTTGCATGTGAACTTTGGGCCCCGAAGTGTTTTGAGGATCTCAGTTTCTTGTTTGATGAAGTGTTGTGGCTGCTGAACCAGGATGACTAATTAAGAGTGGCTAAGTTTTTTCTTGCTGCCTTCCTGTATATTGATTTAAAATGTGGCTTATGCCATTTTTTAATGCTATTGGACTTCTTCAATGTTTGTGTTGTCCGGAGGTGGCCCCACCCCAGGTCTGGGTGGGGAGGTACTCCAGGACAGTTTTGGGTGAGGACTGTGAAAGTGGAGTGAGGTTTTATAAATTTGATCTTAGGGCAAAAGCAGGGGAATGTGGGTCCGGTGGCCAGGTGGGCTGCTTAGGGCAGCATATCTGGCAGGGAGGGGCATCTTGGCTTAGCTCCGATTCTCCAAAGGTAATGGGAAATGCCCGTCATGACCCAGGAGGAGGACAGTGACGTACTATGCTTCTCCAAAGTCCTGTATTTGGGTTTTATTTGGACAGTCTGAAAACTGTGGAAGGGATGGAGGAAAAGGTCTAACATTTCTTGAGGACTGCTGGGTGCCTGGCACCATGCTGAGCAGTCCACCTGTATGAGCTCCTTTAACCCGCATAGAACCCTTGGAGGTAGTTGCTGTCCTCCTTTTACAGGTGAAGCTGCTGCTTAGGACGTGGAGTAACTTAAGGTGTTGCTCGGTCGGTGAAAGCACATCTGGCAGGCTCTAACCTCCATCCTCCCCACTGTTCCAGGCTGCTTCTATGGCGGAAGATAGAAAGGACACTGTTTAGAAAACAGAAGAATGGGGTACTCAGAGATGGCAAGGGAGAAGCCGTGTTTACTGACTATTGGTTGTGTTCTGGGTCCTTTACATAAGAGACCTCGCCTAGCAGTGCAATAGTCAGATGGTGGTAGAGGCATATCTGGCTCCAGGCCAGGGCATGAGCTCGTTGAGGGCAGAGGGTTTTCTCTTGGGTTTTCCATGGCTGCACCCCTGGGGCCTAGAACATCACCTGACACTGAAGGAAATGGCTTGGAGTGCTCTTTTTTGGGGTGTGTCTATGTGTCCATGAACTCGGCCACTTGTATTTTCATACTCGTTCTCTCAGTAACTTGTTCTTAGTATCCCCTAGGCTTACAAGTAATTTCTGACTGCTTATTGTCAGATTGATCCCTTACATGGATACTCTAATAATCCAGACTAGACAGTTGCGCTAGGACACGAGTGGTGGTGTGGGGTTGTACGATAGGTAAATGAGTTAAGGCCACTGTGGTTTTTATTTTCAGTAGGTTTGATGGTAGAGAAAACAGCTAGCTCTCCATTATCCATGGAGGGAAATAGTTTGAGAATCTAAAATGCGTTGGACTTTGGAGTAAATTCCATGATTTTTGTTGGCTTCAGTTAAGTGCACAGGCAAATGAAATTTATTTGCCTGAATTCCCTTAGTAGGTAACAATCTTACCGCTGTAAACTCTTTACAGTTTCAGAACACTTTTCCTTACACAGCTGTAGCTTCTAACTTGGGAATGAGTGTTCTGTTTTTTTTTAAGATTTTATTTATTTGAGAGAGAGAATGAGAGAGAGAGAGAGCACAAGAGGGGGGAGGGTCAGAGGGAGAAGCAGACTCCCTGCTAAGCAGGGAGCCCAATGTGGGACTCTGTCCTGGGGCTCCAGGATCATGACCTGAGCCGAAGGCAGTCGCTTAACCAACTGAGCCACCCAGGCGCCCAGTGAGTGATCTAACTTAAGAGTTCTGAGTCCGGTGCCAGTTGGTGGAGCTGTAGCGGTGAAAGGACAGGTGGACCCCTCAGGAGTTGTGCTCCAGCTCACAGATGGTTTTGCCTGACAGGAGCTGAGAGGAAAAGCCTGTCATATTGTTGCAAGGTGAAACAATATAGTTGACACTAAGGTATCTTGACTGGGCTCCCGGTGTGGATGAGAGACCGTTCAGCGCAGACCCCACACGATATACAGCCCTGTTCATTTAAACCCAACTAGCCTTTTCGGTGGAATGCTTGAAAAAGGTAGCCAACAATCGATAGCTTGAGATTGAGACGATAAATCATAGTTTGAAAGCAGATATTCCTATTTATAACTCTCAAGTCCAATGCTGCTTTTATATTCCTTGGGTGAGAGAAGAGGACCCGTGACTGACAGCCCAGGGAGATGGGAGCCAGGCAGGTACATAGACCCCCGAGACTCCTGCTTCCCAGGCTGGGGAATGCTGGCCAATAGGCAAATACAGAGGCGCCTTAGCGGGGGTACCGGAAGCTACCGGATAAGGTTAATTTTGTGTATATTAAGTGTCTTCTCTGCACAGCTTTGTGTTGACGCAGTGATGAGCAAGACAAGGGTCCATGCCTCACAGCTTACATTGTTGCAGGGGGAATGTCACTCTTACCAAAAATTTAAGGGGGAAGAGCCTTGTTGATGGGAGGGCGAGCCATTTGCGTGAGACATGGCAGGAGATTTAAGAGAAAGTGGGGGCTTGTGCCAGGTTCCCCCCCCAGACCTTTGGGAGTGTGTCTGTTCTTCCCGCTGCCGTAACTGTGGAAGCGAATTGCACCGCGCACCGCCTGTTTGTTCCTCTCTGCACCAGCAGCCCTCCTACCCGGTGCCGTGGGAGTCCGGCCCTTCTGACCTGCGTAGCTGCCATTGAGGGAGGATCTGCCGTGATCCAGAAACGTGGCTTAGACGATACCTCCTCCCCCATTTTACTTACACGGAACCTGAAGCTTGAGAGGTTGAGTGACCCATGTGAGTGGCGTGCCTGGGACTCAAAGCTAGGTCCCTCTGACTCTTGTGCTGGACACTCATTCTGTGTCTCAGAAGCTGTGAGCAGAAGGGCCCGTAGCACAGGATCTGGGCCCGTTGCTCTTTGCAGCAGATCCCAGCAGTGAGAGTCGGGTGTGGAAGGCCAGAGGATGCAGTTGCGAGGTCACCCACATTAGGACCAGCTAGAGCGATGCCATTTCTAAACCTAAGCTTTTAGAGAGTTGTGTTTCCGCGTAAGGAGGTGGAGATGTACATTTTTAGGGCACCAGCCATGTGCGTGAACTCTGCTCTGCTGGGAGAATCCGTGCCTCAGCCCCACCAGGACGGCTCAGCCTTCGGAGAGAGGCAGCACAGTATGGGCAGTTAGGACGTAGAGCCAGACTGCCTTAGGATAATAACAGGACCTCCTCATGAGGCTTGTTTTGGGGATTGAGACCGTACGCGTGAAGTCCTTCCAACAGCATCTGGCATGTAATTATATACATACTCATCATTATTATCCTCAACGCCACATTACAGACGAGGTTCAAAGGGTATGTGGTGAGTCCCTCTGTTAGCTGTTAAGTGGAGGAACTAGGTTTTCTGACTCCAGATACAGACCCCTTTACTCTACTCCTGCCTGCCTGCAGGAGTTTGCTTGGTCTTGGGCTGTGCCGTGAACGAAGAGCTTCCCTAATAGA